AAGGAAGTTGGCCCAACTTACAATGCATATGTTGTGCCAACTATACATTTCAATGGTTGGTCCAAAGACTGACGCCAAAGTTTGCACAACTTTAGATGCGTAAGTTAGGCCAACCACAATTTTCAAAGTTTGGCCAACTTCAACAGCCAAAGGTAAAAAATTATTAAAATACTAGATTATTTAAACAATTAACAGGTTATTATTAGCGGGAACATCAGATATAACCTTTACCTATTATTATTAAACACAATCTCATACATACATTTTCGAAAATATCTAACGCTCGCTGGAATCGAACCCCTAACCTAACGCACCGAAGACTTATACACTGACCACTACGCTACGCTCATATGGGAGTGCATAACGCAAAATGTATATTTAAGCTGCAACAGTCGGGCCAACCGTGGCCCAGAGTTCGGTCAACTAAGAAAGTTTAAGTCATTTAAACTGCATTTGACAAAGTTTTGCCAACCTTTGGGCCAACCGTGGCCCAGAGTTCGGCCGACCAAAATAATGTAAGTCAATTAAACTGCGTTTCACAAAGTTTTGCCAACCGTCGGGCCAACCGTGGCCCAGAGTTTGGCCGACCAAGAAAGTTTAAGTCAATGAAACTGCGTTTCTAGAATTCTGACAACCGTTTGGCCAACCGTAGCCCAGAGTTCGGCCGACCAAAAAACTATAAGTCAATTATACTGCTTTTCTTGAGTTTTGCCAACCGTCGGGCCAACCGTGGCCCAGAGTTCGGCCAACCGTAACTGAAAGTCTTTTAAACAACGTTTTGATGAGTTGTGCCAACATTTGTCGCCAAAGTTGGCCCGACGGTTGGTTAAACTCTGCATTTAATGGTTGGCTTGCAAAGTCGGGCCAACTGTAGGCACTAGTACTTGCCAAAGTTGGGCAAACTCTGGCAACTAAAACTTCGCTTGCCAAAGTTAGGCCAACCTTGGGCCAACCTTCAAACTCTGGCGGCCAACCTAAATTCGCACCTGGGAAATTTGGAAAATTTCGATTTTATGAATTTTTTGAAAACATTTTTATACTTACATCTTAGTTATATAATATTATTTTTGGTAAAATTATGCTAAAATGTGACTAAGTAACATGTAATACTCAATTATATAAAGATTAAGAGCAGTTTTTAAAAAAATAAAAAATTTTAAAATTTTTGATTTTTGAATTTTTTGAAAAAATTTCATATCTTCCGTTCTAATTAATATTTTTTAAATCTGTAAATTTCTATTTGATATTTGGTATCAAACGGTTTAGCCGTTTTTAAGTGATTCGCGAACAAAGATTCTGTGACATACGGACATACATACTAGGGTGTCCGTTATTTACCAAGTTGTTTATATTTCTTGCGACGTCCCCTAAATTATTAGTTTACCATCTAAAACAAAATGTCAGACCAAAATAAACCCTTTATATTCACAATAAACCTTGCCCCATAGACGATACATTTCCCATTTAAAATACACGGGATTTTGCTACTTTTTACAAATTAATTTTTTTTTCGTTAAATATTTCATTTTACATCAATGAAAAATATATATTCTTATAGGAAATTTAACGCTCAAAAAAAAAGTTTCTTATGATTTTTTGATAAATTATCTCCTTTAAGAGTTATTTAAAGTTAAAGTTCAACACTGTAAATTTTAAAATTTTTGTACTTTTACGGCAAAATTATTATGCAAGGATCTATATTTAATCATGCAGGCATTTCCACAATATAAATTGCGAATTATTTTCGCAATGACATATGTTATCCTACTCAAAAAATAATAAAATGCGTATTTTTTTAATTTTGAATAGGATTCTGTTTGCACTTTTTACGAATATTTTAAGATTTTAGAAAAAATTACTTTTTTGTATTTTCTTCTATAAAATTGCGTAATTTTTATATTTTGTGTTGCTCTTGGGCCTCATTTTTTCCTTTTATATACTCTTTTATGTAAAATTACGCAAAATAAAAAATAATAAAAAACAAGTGATACAAATTCAATTTAAAAAAAAAATTGTTATAAAAAAAGACACCTTTTTTCTCTCGTTATTTTTAAGATTTATTGGTACTCATGTGTAGTATTTAACATAAAAATACCATTTTGTATTTTTTTGGTTATCTATTAAGAGAAAAAATTATTTTCAATTTTTTACTAAAAATTCAAACATTTCGCAACTTTTTAGGTTTCTATTTTCGTACCATCGCCTATTTTTTTAATTTTAACATCAGCTTAAAAAATCTTGTCAATAGTAAAAAATATTGATAATTAACATGATCCCAGGTGCGAATTTAGGTTGGCCGCCACAGTTTGAAGGTTGGCCCAAGGTTGGCCTAACTTTGGCAAGCGAAGTTTTGGTTGCCAGAGTTTGCCCAACTTTGCCAAGTACTAGTGCCCACAGTTAGCCCGACTTTGCAAGCCAACCATTAAATGCAGAGTTTAACTAACCGTCGGGCCAACTTTGGCAACAAAGGTTGGCACAACTCATCAAAACGTAGTTTAAAAGACTTTCAGTTTCGGTTGGCCGAACTCTGGGCCACGGTTGGTCCGACGGTTGGCAAAACTCAAGAAAAGCAGTATAATTGACTTAAACTTTCTTGGTCGGCCGAACTCTGGGCCACGGTTGGCCCAACGGTTGGCAAAACTCTAGAAACGCAGTTTCATTGACTTAAACTTTCTTGGTCGGCCGAACTCTGGGCCACGGTTGTCTCGACGGTTGGCAAAACTATGTGAAACGCAGTTTAATTGACTTACATTATTTTGGTCGGCCGAACTCTGGGCCACGGTTGGCCCGACTGTTGCAGCTTTAATATACATTTTGCGTTATGCACTCCCATGTGAGCGTAGCGTAGTGGTCAGTGTATAAGACTTCGGTGCGTTAGGTTAGGGGTTCAATCCCAGCGAGCGTTAGATATTTTCGAAAATGTATGTATGAGATTGTGTTTAATAATAATAGGTAAAGGTTACATATATCTGATGTTCCCGCTAATAATAACCTGTTAATTGTTTAAATAATTTAGTTTTTTAATAATTTTTTACCTTTGGCTGTTGAAGTTGGCCAAACTTTGAAAATTGTGGTTGGCCTAACTTACGCATCTAAAGTTGTGCAAACTTTGGCGTCAGTCTTTGGACCAACCATTGAAATGTATAGTTGGCACAACATATGCATTGTAAGTTGGGCCAACTTCCTTATGAGGTGTCGGGCCAACCATCGTCGCCATTAGACGGCGAACCGTTATCATCTGTATGGTTGGCCCAACCTCTGGCACGAGAAGTTGGACCGACTTTGTAAAAGTTGGCCCAACTATGGGCCGACCAAAAAGTCGCACCTGGGATGTCCGATAATTATGTTAATTACCTATATGATAATGATAATGTTCGAAAATGTTATTTATCACGGTTAGTTTATTTAAGACGTTCAAATTTTTTAAACGAAGGTTAAAATTTTTTGTCAATAAAATTGAACATAACTTATTATGAGAGAATATTATTACCTGATTAAGTCGATTAATTAAAAGAAAAATTTTAACTATAAATAGAAATTTTTTTCTCTATTATAGATATTGCCTTTGTAATAAATGTAAATATATATAATAAAATAATTCTTATGAACAAAAAAATTGTAATGTTATTTAAAAAGGATATTTTTTTAAAGAACTTAAAAAAGTAACATAAAAATTGTATTTATGAATTCCAATATAAATAAAAAGTAGAAGCATTTTTTCTTGCCTTTTGTAAAACATTGTTGATAGTACAAGTATAGAAACCTGAAAAGTTGCAAAATTTTAGAATGTTTGGTAAGAAATTGAAAGTAGGTAATTTTCTTTCTTAATATACAAAAAAATACAAAATGTTATTTTTATGTTAAATACTACACATGAGTATCAATAAATCCTGAAAATAAAGAGAGAAAAAAGATGTCCTTTTTAAGAAATTTTTTTTTTCAAATTGAATTTGTATCACTTATTATTTTTTATTATTTTTTATTTTGCGTAATTTTACATAAAAGAGTATATACAAGGAGAAAATGAGCCCCAAGAGCAACAAAAAATATGAAAATTACGCAATTTTATAGAAGAAAATAAAAAAAATAATTTTTTTGATAAAATCTTAAAATATTCGTAGAAAGTGCAAACAGAATCCTATTCAAAATTTAAAAAAATACGAATTTTATTATTTTTTGAGTAGGATAACATATGTCATTGCGAAAATAATTCGCAATTTATATCGTCGAAATGCCTGCATGATTTGATATGGATCCTTTCATAATAATTTTGCCGTAAAAGTACAAAAATCTAAAAATTTACACAATGTTGAACTATTACTTCAAATAACTCTTAAAGGAGATAATTTATCAAAAAATTATAAGAAAACTTTTTTTTAAAGCGTTAAATTTCTTATAAGAATATATATTTTTCATTGATGTAAAATGAAATATTTAACGAAAAAATAATTAATTTGTAAAAAGTAGCAAAATCCCGTGTATTTTAAATGTGAAATGTATCGTCTTTGGGGCAAGGTTTATTATGAATATTAAGGGATTATTTTGGTCTGACATTTTGTTTTAGATGGTAAACTAATAATTTAGGGGGCGTCGCAAGAAATATAAACAACTTGGTAAATAACGGACACCCTAATACATACATACACACATACATACATACATATACGAAATTTTTTATTGGCATTTTTGGAATCCTGGTTGCTCAAAAGGAATAATTATATGGGAAATTTAAAGTTCTGAGCAATGTACAGACAAAAGTCTCATCTTTTATATATATAGATATTGACATTTATATCATATTTTTTAAGATTTAAAATTAAGACTTTTTTCAAATTCACTTTTTTGAAAAGCCCTTCTCAGATTATTTTATTTTTTGGATTTTCTTAATGAGAGAACACTACTGATTCAAAATAAAAAAAAATTTCCATCTGCAGAAACTTTTGATTCAAATCTAGTTCAGGCGCACCATGCACAAGTAACATAACTATTAATTTACAAACCTCTCCTTCATGAAATTTTTCTCTACTAAACATTGATAAAATTTCATTTCTTTACTAATTCCATCATCATAAGTTTGTGACAAATGTTTTTTTAGGCTTGCAGCTTTGCTTCTTTCCTGTCCAAGCTTCAGTTCCAGCTCTTCAACTATTTGCAAGAAAATATTTCAAATTAATACTTATTCGGCTTGGTGGAAAACTACCATTTCAGGAATTCGTTATAAACTGTACCATTTCGATACATTTTTTTTAAACATACGATTTCGAGAAAAAAGATTTTTGCTTTTCTCCACGTTTGTCAACACTGCTGCTAGACATAAAATGAGGTTATGCATTTTTAAGAAGAGGTTTCTTAAGAATACTCTTGTTCATCTTATCAATGTATCAATTCAAAATTTTAAATAATTTAAATTAATTGCTTGTTAATCATTAGAAATTCTTTAGTGCAACGCTTTTATAGATCTTCATCGAAATGGTATGTTTTATTACAAAGTTTTGAAATGGTATTATTTATAACGAATTCTTGAAATGGTACAGTTTTCCACCAAGCCGACGTTATATCTAATTTGTACCTAATACATTTTTCTGTTTATTTAAGAAAGAAATTTATTTTCTTCTGCCGAGTAATTATTAGCTTTAAACAGTGTTTTTCAATTATTATTATTTAGTAGAAATAAATATAGATATGTTATTATTTTAACCAAAACTATTTTACTTTTTCGAAGTACCAAAAAGTATATAAATCAAGAATATTATATTTTTAAGCAAAATAATAAAATAAGGTCTGGAGAACTGTTATTTCTTAAATTAAATCGTTTTATTCATTTGCTTTAATTGTTTTCCTTAATTAATTTGACAGTGTTTTGATCCATGAAATTGTTTTTCTTCAAATAGATATAGAAGTTAAGTAGGATTTTTAAAAAAAATTCAGTTTAGTCCAAGTGGATACTATAAGTGCCGCTGTCCACGAGTGTAAGGACTAATACCAGTCAGGTAGCAGTGAGCGCCTCTGAGCTGTTCACTGATAGCTGACTGGTTATAGTATCCAGGCCTTTAATTCAAGTAAAGTAAAGTTAACTAATTTCATGACTTGACCTTACACAATCTCAATATAAACTTCAATCAAGTAAAATTTTATTTGTTCAATTAGATTTTTTTCAATAAAAACTGTATTGTTAAAATAATTTTGTTTTAATAAAACACTAATTACACCAGCACAAAAAAAATTTCGATTGCCAGGACTGCCATGAGATAGGTACCCTTCCTTAAGATGTATCTAAAGAGAAAAACGTAGTCCGACCTCAAAGTTAGTTCGCGTTCTCTTTTTACAGGCATGGTGGGGTTGTGAAGTTTGAGAATTTGATTTCTATGGAAATTTACTTAATTTCTACGTCTAATACTGATTTTTCACTTCTTCTGAATGCTGATTTGGATTAAAAAATTGTTTGGACTTCCTTGAAACTTGTTACTCGGGGGTTTTTGGGGACGCTGTTTACGAATATGATGTTATTTTATAAGAATTCAAAATGGCGGATCCAATATGGCGACCAAAAAAAATTTTGAAATGAATGAATTCAATTGAAACTTGTTACTTGGTGGGTGTTTTCTGGGTGGCTAAATCAGAATCTGACTTTAGATTTTAAGAATTTAAAATGGCGTATCTAATACGAGTTACGTATTGTGTGTTTCCTCGAGTCGCTAATTTTAAATCTGAATTCTGAAAATACAAAATCAGATTCTGATTTAGCCACCCAGAAAACACCCACCAAGTAACAAGTTTTAAGAAAATCCGAACAATTTTTTTAAATTCCACCATTTTAGATCCGCCATTTTTAATTTTTTTTATATATCCAACTTTAATATTACCTGTTATAACAGGTAATATTCAGTAACTATATTTAGGTAACTATATTATTATAGTTATAGTTATAACTATATATAGTTATATGGTTATAACAGGTAATATCTACACTGAGAGAAATGGATAGTCAGATTTTGATGTTAAAAAGATGATGTTACACGATACTATCATTATGCTACTGCCAACCATCACAGATGCTAAAAAAAATATAGTTATGCTACCCCGTACTACCAAGATGTTACTCCTGATGATATTGATGGTAACGGTGACTATCTAGATAGCTGTCTGTATACGTAGCATTAAAGATGGTCACCCTAACCACAATTATGTTACCCACTACTATAAATTTCTCTCCGTGTAATACGAGTTACGTATTGTGTGTTTCCTCGAGTCGCTAATTAGTTATTATGAAAAAATATATTAAATAAATTAATATTAATTATAAATATATAAATTAATTAATTATATATATTAATAAAGAAATATTAGTTAATATATAATTAGTTTTTATATAGTTATCTGTTATAACTATATATAGTCACTGCATCCAAATCAGCATTCAGAAGAAGTGAAAAATCAGTATTAGATGTAGAAATTAAGAGGGAAGTAAGGTATTTTTTCGAATTTTTTTTCAGTTTTTTAATATTTTTTTATATTAATGTATATCAGAATATTGTGTGAAAAATTCAAATCGATTTGAGCAAAACTAACGAAGATATGGGATTGTAAGTCTCCGCCTCGCCAGTCATAATCTGCGTGCAGTGAATTTTCAGTTTAGTTTCTGTCGTGATTTTGGCATTTATAATTGCTATAAAATGACAAAAATTACGCGAAAACCCATTCACTTTATGAAGCTGGAATCGATCATTCAGTGTAAGTACAAGAAAAACAATTTTTTTGTAGTGTAAAAATCATTGAAATTTTCAAACGCGTTTTCTCAAATTTGGGTTTTCCAGAGTCGGTGTCCACTGTAGCTCCGAATCTCCTGCACCGATCTTTTAAAAATTTTGCACACTTTTTCTTCACATAAATGACGAGACAGCAACGTCGAGTTTTTATTTTTTTCTAAATTTTATCTTATATTAAAATAGCAATTTTGACGAGTTTTTTAATGAGTCATGAGGTATGATGGACACCGCGATGGAACTTTATTTCGAGACGTTAGCGAAGATTCGCTGTCAGCGGCTCATTTCTTACTAAAAATTAATGAAAATTTCACATAATATTTTTTAAATATCACTTTATGTATAATGTAATAATTATTAAAATGAATAAATATTAACCCATTAACGCCCAACTCGTGAAAATTGTTTGGTCATTTTCAAGCTACGTAATTATAAATAAAACGGTTGACAATTTATACCAGAGGTACATTTTCTAAAGGTTTTGGATGTGCTCTTTCTTATTCAGGTGTCAAAAATAAATTTCGTCCAAACCAAAATTAAAAATGGCGGTTTTAATGTCAAAAATCACAAAAAAATTCATTTTTTTCAAGTTTGACATTTTTTTCACCTCGAAAAGGTGTAAGAATAAAATTCTATTTTCAACCATCGGTGCATAAAAATTATACACTTTCGAGAAAAGTAAGGTAGAATTTAAAATTTCAAGATGGCCGACAAATATGGCGTCAAATCTAAAGCAAAATTTGAAAATTTTGGGCAATATTCTTCATATTGCCCAAAAGTCAATGGATTCCCCTGAATTTTGTTACTCGGAGGTTTTCAGTAGAGTTGTGCAAAAAGCTCGATCGAGTATTTCAAGCTTTTCGTTCTTCTAGCAGAGCTGAGCAAAATCAATCCGAACTTGAACCAAATTCCATCCGACACGTGCAGTATTAAATCTAAAATAATTTTGAGCACTTGAATTTTTCGAGCACTCAAATATTTTTGAGTAACTAAAACTCGAGCCCGGCTCGAGCTCGACCATGCTATTCGAGCTTTTTGCACACCTCTAGTTTTCAGTATTGCTGATTAGGGACCATTCAAGTATTACGTAAGCATTTAAGGGAGAGGGGGGTCTAGCTATTGCTTACTTCCATTAGAAAAAATGTCGCTAATGCATATAAAAAATCTTACGATGGGGGAGGGGGGGGGTCTAAAAACCTCAAAAATATGCTCACGTAATACTTAAATGACCCCTTCATTTTCAAAAATTCAAAATAGCGGATTCAAAATGGCTTAAATTTTGTAACTCGGAGGTTTTTGGGGTCGCTGATTACGAATATGAACTTTATTTCCAAAAATTCAAAATGTCACATTCAATATGGCGGACGAATTTTTTAAAATTGATCAAATTCACTTAAAACTTGTTACTCGGGGGTTTTTGGGGTCGCTGATTACGAATCCGATGATAGTTTTAAAAAACTTTTAATTTCAAATCTCTTGGCAGACAGCAAAATTGAAAAACTTATCTAAGTGGTTCCCGGTGTTGTTTATGCACAAAATTAGAAACATATCATGTGTATATATAGTAGGCGATACGTATATGCACATTCTGCAATTGCCATTGGTGGACCACGGCAAAGTTAAGTTCATTACTAAAAAGCAGGTCCCTAGTTTTAGCATACTACTCAATGTATACATATTGAAGTGCATGTGTAAGATCGCATTGCATATACTTTGTATACAGTATACTTAGTAGAGAGTTTACTTTGTCAAAATGTGTATAAACGTTTCGCCTACTAGATATACACTTGATATCTTTCTAATTATGTGCATAAACAACACAGGGAACCAATTACATGAATTTTTCAATTTTACTGTCGGCCAAGAATTTCAAAATTAAAATTCTTAAGTGAATTTGATAAATTTTAAAAAATTAGTCCGCTATTTTGAATTTTTAAAAATAAAGTTTATATTCGTAATCAGCGACCCCAAAAACCCCCAAGTTACAAAATTTAAGCCAATAGAATGGAATTTTCTTGTCCGACATTTTGAATCCGCCATTTTGAATTTTTGAAAATGAAGTTGATATTCGTAATCAGTGACCCAAAAACCTCCGAGTAACAAGTTTCAAGTGAATGTGATCAATTTTAAAAAATAAAGCCACCATATTGAATCCGCCATTTTGAATTTTTAAAAATAAAGTTCATATTCGTAATCACCGATACTGAAAACCCCCGAATAACAAAATTCAGGCAAATCCATTGACTTTTGGACAATATGAAGAATATTGACAAAATTTTTCAAATCTTTTTTTAGATTTAATGCCATATTGGTCGGCCATCTTGAAATTTTAAATTCTACTTTAGTTTTCTCGAAAGTGTATAATATAATTATAAAATAATATAATTTTATTCTTACACTTTTTCAAGGTGAAAAAAAATGTTAAACTTGCAAAAATGAATTTTTTTGTGTTTTTTGTCATTAAAACCGACATATTTAATTTTGGTTTGGACGAAATTTATTTTTGACACCAGAATCGGAAAGAGCACATCCAAAACCTTTAGAAAATGTACCTCTGGTATATATTGTCAACCGTTTTATTCATAATTAAGTAGCTTGAATATGACCAAAGAATTTTCACGAGTTGGGAGCTAATGGGTTAACTGTGTTGTCAAAAAAATTCTCGAAATTATGCTTTTTTAGCACCAACTTAACCTTACTCCCCCTTAAGTAAATTTCAATAGAAACCAAATTCTCAAACTTCACAACCCCACCATGCCTGTAAAAAGAGAACGCTAACACTAACTTTGAGGTCGGAATACGTTTTTCTCTTTAGATACATCTTAGGGGTCGTTCATAAACTACGTCACACTCCTAGGGGGGGGGGTGTTTAAGGGTTCAAACCTCACCCCCGAAACTTTTTTTGGCTACGCCCCTGGGGGGTATCAAGCTGTGTGTGACGAAGTATGGAAGAAAAAATTGTTTGTATGTAAAAAATGTGACAAAGAGGGGGAAGGTGTCAAAATTAGTCCGAAAAAGCGTGACGTAGTTTGTGAATTACCCCTTAACCCTTTCAGTCACGCAATTAGGATAATAGACAAAACATTATAAACGCTATTGTAAATAGGGTTTCTGGGATCGCTGAATACGAATCCGAGGCCAGATTTGCAAAATTTTCAGAAATTCAAAATGGCGGATCCAATATGGCGGACAAATTTTTAAAAATTAAACGAATTTACTTAAAAATGGTTACTCGGGAGTTATCGGGGACGTTGATAACGAATCTAGTATTAGTTTTTAAAAATTCAAAATAGTGGATCTAATATGGTCATATTGGATCCGCCATTTTGAATTCTGAAAATACGACTTCAGATTCGTAATCAGCGACCCCGATAACCCCCCGAGCAACAAGTTTCTAGTGAATCCGTTAAATTTTTTAAAATTTGTCCGACATATTGGATCCGCCATTTTGAATTTTTGAAAACTAAAAGTGGATTCGTAATCATCGACTTCAAAAACCCCCAAGTAACAAGTTTCAAGCAAATCTGATTGGTTTTTATATTTTTTTAACCATCTCAAAAGGTCGTCGACATATCGACCACTGTGACCACATGGCAGTCCTGGCAATCGAAATTTTTTTTCTTGTGCCGGTGTTATTGATTGCTTTTATTTTTTATATATATCTAATATTAATAATTAAATTTCTCTTATAGAATAACCTTTAATATTATGCTGTTTAAATTGTAAAACATGTTTTTCTAATTCCTGCACTTTCTTTATAAGTTCTTGCTTTTCACTTAAATGTTCTTGAAGACATTTATTCTGTTTGTTACTCAAAATTTTTGACAACTCTTCTACTGGTAATAAAGAAGCAATTCTTTGGCACAATATTTTTAATTCTTCAGTATTAAGAGACTGCAAAATAAATATTAATCGATTATAATTTTTATATTCAACAGTAAATAGAAGTTATCTGCCTTACTAATCAAGTGACATCTATCAAATGTTATTATAACTCATTAACAAATTTTTAACATATGGGCAATTCCACGTAAGATTTTAATCGACCTCTTAAAATCGGCCAAAAATATTATTTTTACTATTCTGTATCGAAAAAAAACAGATACGTAATTTTTTATTTTTGTTTAATTGTCCAAATTTTCGAGTTATGAATTTTCGAAATTTTAGACTTTTAATTGTAGACTGACGTGAGGGATTTTTCCTCACTTTTAATTATTTGATCGATCCGGAAAAATGAGCGACCTTACGGTATTTTCACCGTAGGTGGCGCCTGTTCTCGGCCACTTACCGGTAAAGCTACGCAATTTCCCATATTAATTACATGAAGTGCTGTGTGGTGCGCATACGCGATTCGTGCGAATATGACTTCGCTCAGTGCGTAGATATAAGCGGATCACCGAATTATGTACTTCGACAACCGTACCCGACCTCTCATTGCCTGGAGGGGGAGGTACCGGTTCGAGCCAAGAATGAATAAAAGCTAACTTGAATTTCACGCAAGTCTGCTCAATTTTTTTCCTTACACCCATTTTCCTACATTTCCATGCTACGAACCTCGACCATCAGCCAGAAGGAGAAGGAAGGAAGGAGAGAAGGAAGGAAGCTATTCTCCAGCCGCCTTGGGTCCCCCCCCCCGCCTGCCTGCCAATTCTCTCCTAACCACGATGCCAGCTCAAAGGCCCACATCGTCCACCTCACTGCCACGTACCCCCCCCCCCCCCCGCTCAACGACGATACCAAAATTTAACCTACATCGCAGCACTGAGGGTTGCATTGGTTCCCCATGCAGTTCCCCATAAGGGTTAATTTTCATTTCCCCTAAATTCTCGCGGGTCAACTGGCCACTCTTAAAATACTAAAAATTCAATCTACCCTTTTAAAAGTTTCGCAGCACTCTTCTGTGAACAAATTTGACGAGAATTTCCCTACCCGTAAAAAAGGGAAATTCGCCCATGTCAAGACCTATATTCAGTAGCCAATAAGTCCGAAAATATTGAGTTTAGGAAAAAGTTGGCAAATGAAAGTTTTGGTTTTCTTTCGTCTTTTCCAAAATGTAAACAAAAAAAATTTTTTTTAATATTTTATTTGAAAAATTTTTTTTTTATAAACCTTATTAATTTTTTTAAATATTTTATTTAAAAAAAATTTTTTATAAACAAATTCATTTTTTTCAACTTTGGCCGAATTTTTTTATTTTTTTAAAATTTATTTATACCTTCATAGTATAGAGAAGATTTTTTAAATAGTCCCGAAATGGGCCTGATGTATTAAATGAATTTTAAAACATTTTCAAAAATCACTTGCAAGCCTCACAGTGGGATTTTTTTACAATTAACTTTTTAAAATTGTCTACAGCGTGAACTCTTTAATTTAAAACAAAGATCACTCAAATAGATTTATATTAATTCTCAGGCTATGTCCAAGTTGTGAAATGTAAACAAACCAAAAGGTGAACAAACGAAGCACTAAAATCGCAATTTTGCAACAGCCGATTCTCCCACAAAAATTAACACTTTTACACTTTCTTTACAAAAATGGAAAATTAGAGTGTCAAAGTTTCCAATGAAATCATTTTTGACTAAAAGCAATAAAAAGCAATTAGTAAAATAACTAATTAAAATGACCTGTAAAATAGCATTTTTGAGGCGTCGAAAGGCGCTGTTATCAGTAAACATGAGGCTATTACTTTTCGCGTGCCTGTCGATTCTACTGCAGAGGAGTACAGTCAATATCAGGAAATTTTCCCATTGGAGATATGTCTCCTTATACTCTTTCATGGACAGCACCATGTGGAAGTGCACATTTTGTTTTGAATGAAACTTAGTTGTTTTCTCATACTTTCAGTTATATGCAAGGTTTAGTAACCGAATTCGATATGTTAGTTCATTATTTCCATAAAGAAAATGTGAATTTATATTTATTTGATGTCAATGCATTCTTAGTACAGTCTACACTGAGAAAAAAATGCCGCCGTTTTAGCGATAAAGTGATGCTATTATAGCAGGAATTGTACTGCCATTAGAAAACCGCTATTTCAGCATGAGTACACTGCAGTTTTAGCATTGTAAAACTGTGGAGGTAGCTGGAAAGTCATGCTAAAACTGCAGTGTACCACACAGTCGTTTTAGCATCTTATGGCGTTTCTCACTGCAAATAACACTGCCAAATTTGCATGAATAAACGGGGCCACTTTGACAGTTTTTTTTCCTCAGTGTACGCAAGCGCAGAGAGCAACAGAGTCTCAGGTCGCCAAATATTAAAGTGTTTGACTATATCAACCGCACGGACGATGAAAAAGTTTTTACCCTTTCTCTTGTAATTTCAAGGAGGAAATGTTGAAGGTCCAATCGCTGACATGGGACTTCTTCATCGTCAGTGCGGTTGATATACTCAAACAGTATATTTTTCGCGACGCCTCAAAAATGCTATTTTACAGGTCATTTTAATTAGTTATTTTACTAATTGCTTTTTATTGCTTTTAGTCAAAAACACAGGTTTACAAATTAATAACTTTTTTTTGTCAATCGAACAAAACATTTCGACGCCTCCCGTTCATATAATGCTTATTGAAAAACAAATGCAAGATCATTCTTATTCAGTTTTTAGTGCAAGACAATTCTTATTCGATTTTCCGTGCAATAAAATGCTTATTCAAAATTGTGTGCAAAATAATTGCCACTGACAGAACAATAAATGTAACCCTAAATCATCTTTTTAATATTAAATTGCAATTAAATATCTGAGAATTTCAGTGCGTATCTATTGTTATTAGAAAATTTAATACTTGATTATCTCTTACGTATTAAGAAATATTGTTTAAGCAATTGTAATTAAAAATTATATTCAATTGAAAATTTTATAAAACTCATAGTGTAAGCTAATTTCAGATTGTACTTTTTAGCATAGAATTTTGAATAAGCATTTTATTGCACGGAAAATCGAATAAGAATTGTCTTGCACTAAAAACTGAATAAGAATGATCTTGCATTTGTTTTTCAATAAGCATTATATGAACGGCAGGCGTCGATTTTTTTTTCGAATAGTAGGTATTTTTTGAGTAAGAAAATCTTAGTTTTAATTTTTTCCCCTCGTGCAGTTTTTTTGTAGCTTCAAATTTTGCATTTTCGAGGTTAAACGTCACTTAAACTTACCTGTAGGAAAATTAGCTTATCAAAATATAATAAATAAGGTATCATTGGAAAGGTTATTAAATTACCTTTCGATCCATAGGTTACAGAATAAAATTCAATGAAAATTAAGAAAGTTACAGTCGATTACAGATCAAATTTCATGCCAATTTTGTTGATTTTTTTAAACTTAAGTAACTTCTACTATTTTTTTTACATGAAACAGGAAAAAATGTTTAGATTTTAATTTTTTTATTGATAGACTATATAATTACAACAATTTTGAGCCATTGTGGACCTCGATTGGATTAAAAATGACAATTCTACACTAAATTTAGTGAACGAAACTACTTTCTTCATTTTTAGTATCCCATAAACATTTACAGCAAAAATGCAAGTAATAAAATTTAGTTAAGCCCTAAAGTGACTAAATCACTAATCAAGGGTTTCTGATGTCGTAGATTTTGAATCCAATGTTAGTTTTTCAAACTTCAAAATGGCGGATCCAATATGGCGGACAAGTTTTTAAAAATCGATAAAATTCGTCTTAAATTCGTTACCCGGGGGTTTTCGAGGTCGCAGATTACAAATCCGATGTCAGATTACAAAAATTCAAAATAACGGATCCAAAAGGTGCGAATTCGATGGATTTTTAAAAACTCGTTCACCATTATTAATCCGCCATTTTGAATTTTTGTAATCTGACATCGGATTCGTAATCAGCGACCCCGAAAACCCCCGAGTAACGAATTTAAGACGAATTTTATCGATTTTTAAAAACTTGTCCGCCATATTAGATCCGCCATTTTGAAATTTGAAAAACTAACATTGGATTCAAAATCTACGACATCAGAAACCCTTGATTAGTGATTTTAGTCACTTTAGGGCTTAACTAAATTTTATTACTTGCATTTTTGCTGCAAATGTTTATGGGATACTAAAAATGAAGAAAGTAGTTTCGTTCACTAAATTTAGTGTAGAATTGTCATTTTTAATCCAATCGAGGTACACAAGGGCTCAAAATTGTTGTAATTATATAGTCTATCAATAAAAAAATTAAAATCTAAACATTTTTTCCTGTTTGATGTAGAAAAAATATTAGAAGTTACTTAAGTTTCAAAAAATCAACAAAATTGGCATGAAATTTGATCTGTAATCGACTGTAACTTTCTTAATTTTCATTGAATTTTATTCTGTAACCTATGGATCGAAAGGTAACTTAATAACCTTTCCAATGATACCTTATTTATTATATTTTGATAAGCTAATTTTCCTACAGGTAAGTTTAAGTGATGTTTAACCTCGAAAATACAAAATTTGAAGCAACAGAAAATCTGTACGAGGGAAAAAAATTAAAACTACGATTTTCTTACTCAAAAAACGCCTACTATTCGAAAAAAAAACTGTTTCTTTCGATTGACAATTTCACTGTAAACCAGTGAAATGATTTCATTGGAAACTTTGACACTCTAATTTTCCATTTTTGTAAAGAAAGTTGTGACGATGCGAATGTTCACTTGAACAATTCCTGTTGAAAATTCTGGATCGTCGCGCCATCCGTCGCAAAAGCCCCAAATTGACAGAATCAATTACCATGGTAATTAAGGAAAAGCTAGCGCTGCCGGCTGACCTACTAGTAGCAGCGAAAGTAGGTCGCGCGGCTAGCTACCTAGAGAAAGTGATAGATGGCGGAGCCAGTATTACTTTCAGAGAACGAGGTGAAGAAGACGGGCCACGTGCGAACGGAAATTTGAGAGACGCTACAGG